GATAGCACATATCCGAGCGGATATCATTGCTGTTTGAAAGCGAAACAAGGGAATATCGAAAAATCCAAATCCGAGCACGCGAAGAGCTTGAGAAAGATAAATTGCCATTGTCTTTCAAAGAATGACGCGTGATTGTCAGCGAGACGGGTGATCGAACCGAGCGCTCAGTGTCGTCGTCCGCGAGGCAGTCTTAGCCATCGGCAGGTGAGCATAAGTAATCTAATCTGCGCGCCTGTGGGCTCAGTGGTTCGGCCGCGGGTAACGCCGCATATCAGGCGCCGGTGCATCTTGGGCCGTGACGAGCGACGGGACAAGGGCCAGAAACGCCATGCCAACAACTGCGGCCGATCTTTATCGGATGATTGTGCCTGCGCGGCGATGCACCGAGCAGCGCTCCAAGATCCACTGGGATACGTGCCACCAACAAATCATGCACAGCGCCCCGGATCGGTTTCGATGCTCGTCAACTGCGCAATTATCGTCGCCCATAAATCTCGCGGTTATTTTTCTCGCGCGAACGCTCGCGAGGGCTTGCCAAAAATCGCGCTCGAGTTAAGCGTTTGATGAATTAGGCGTTATTCATAGACCGTCTTAATTACACGCGTCGCGCGCTCGCGCCCCGAGAAAGAGAGGGAGAGAGAAGAGAGAGAGAGAGGAGCTGGCAACGGGCTCGAGCTCGGAGCGTCGAGAGGATGTGCGCGCGAGTATGACCTGTCACCTCTAATCGCGTCTTGAATTATTTCATTGGATTTACGCGCCGCGCGCTCCTGTGTGCCTTTCGGCTCTTTTTATTCGGTCGCGTCGTCGTGCTCCTTCACTCGCTTCCAGCGCGCTAATTCGCCGTAAATTTTCCCTCAAAAGCCGCACGGCGTAATCTGGCATGCGCGCTGCCAGCGCGCGGCTCGGCAGCTGCTACCTACACGAGCATCCATCAAACATTCATCCCGCGCGCGCCCCATCATGCAGATTCTTTTTAATACTCTCTAGCGGCAAAATTGATTGTTCAATTTATGATATCGTATGCGCACTATTTTCGTGCACCGCGTAGCCTTTACATATTTTGATCTACGGCTACGCGCAGCAAGTTACCGTTGTCGGGTTATTGTTGGGCTTTAATGAATTAAAAATGGATTCATGAAAGACATGTCAAATGAAATCGTGTTTTACAGATATTACCCTTTTTACTTTATCAGTTCAGACGACTTGTTTTGTTCATGGCCCGGATGATTTATCTCGCCTAACAGAGCTTTTTATTTCAACTTACAAAAATACATTTCAATTCCGAAGAAGGAAATGCATTGGCAACGTTTTTGGCTATCAATTTAAACATGTTTTTTCCTACCTTTATTCTAAATATCGCAGACATGAAATTGTATCCTGCTATATCTAACAATCATGTGAAACCAAATAGATATCAATTTCTCCGATCACTTACAAGAGTTTAGAAAACAGTGTAAATAGCAATGCTTTTGATGCATCGAGGATCAAATTTAAAAAGTCGATAGCAGGGATAGGCGAGTACTTATATCTGAACTTCCACGAGTATATGCATCTTTGCGACAGTGAGAGAAACAGAGAGGTACAGAAAGCCAGAGAGATCTAACGGCACGTAGCGCCAACAGTAGGAACACAGGCAAATATTTATCAACCACTTCGTCATCAGCGCTCGTGCAACTTTATATTTCAATTTAAATTTTTTTAAATTTTAACGCGATGCGTCACAATATACACATAAGAGTTATGTATATGTATTAGTAAGCTTGTCATAGCAGTTACATACGTATCGCCATGATTTTTTAAGATGTCAGACAGTGTACATGCACCTAATTTTTCTACTCTGTCATTTTTTAGAGAATCAGACAAATTGAAGGGGGGGGGGGCAATATCGGGGATGTCTGTGACACCCTTTTTTCGTCCGTAGTAGAGCTCAAATTTATCAAATAAAGAAACGCAATTTAATTCTTATAATTTTTTGGAAATTTTTTAAAAAAACGAAAAATGACCACGTTAATTTCAATTTAATTTCTAATGCCACGGGACAATGTCGCTAATCGTGAGCTCAACATTTCAGAGCTTCGTATAATGGAACAGTGAATAAAAAGACTCATTATTAACGAAACTGTTCACTGAACTTGTTTGAGTGAAATTTAGGTTTTGAAAGGTCTGCAAAGGTCGAAATTTCGAGCCAAAAATAAATCAAGTTACGATTTCTAACGGATATTGACCCGTTTAATTCGAACTTGAACACTGATTTTAAATCCTCTCTTTATAAAAACGATAAAAACATGAAAAATCATGATATAGTTTTAATCGTCAGCCATTTTATATGCAAAAAAAGTGCGTCACAAATTTGCTTGATGATAGTTTGAATTACAACAAAATAAAAAAATTAAGCGCGTACTCGCTGAACGTCTGTGACAGGGCTATTTGAAGATTCGGAAGAAAAGGTGAATTATGGCACTACTGTGGTGGGATTGCTTATATATATGTATTCACGGGGGTGGCGCGCACGTAAAACTTGGCTATATTCACAAATATAGAAGATGAAGTATGTAGGAAAGAACGGGGAAGAAAGAACTCTATACATATAATGAAATGAAAAAATGAAGTTTAACTGAGAGATAAAACGGCAAGTTACGTGCTGCGTAGGGCACGAAAGCAAAGCCAATCGCGCGCGAGCGAGGCGTTTCAATCCGATAGTGCTGTGCAGGCGAAACCGGTGCGCTTAATCACTTGATCACAAGCCAGTACTGCTGCCTGCCCGATGCTTCCTTGTCGCGCGATGGGCCCGGGAAAAAGTAGAAAAAGGGAAAAAAAAAAGCTCCGAGGCTCGATCAATAAAGTCGGAATGCCTCGGCGCTCATTAACGAGGCGAGGACTGCCGACGTGGAACGCCATAATGGCGCTTAACGCCCTGCGTAAAGTGTTACGAATGCGTTACGCGTGCTACTGCTGCTACTACTGCTGCAGCTCTCTCGCTCTCTTTCTCTCTCTCTCTCTCTTGAATATCGCGATGCTCTCGAGAGGCTGAACGAATGATAGCCCACAGAATGTGCGCGTGAGTGCCAACTCAATGAGAATTGATCAATCATAGATGGCTATGGCCTTTGTTGAATGAATTATACCTCAAATGCTCTGGATTCTTTTTGGTTTTGATTTTTTTTCGTTTTACTGCCCTCGCCGCGGCTTCATTAAAGAGTTTCGGAGTCAGCGGAAAACTTTATGTTACATACTGGAGTAAATTTTAAGCATCGGACTGTAAAGCTTTTTCTCTTGAAATTTGTGAGGATTCGAATTGAACAAACCTTCATGAAATAAATTGTAACGCAAACCGCTCTTTGCAATAAGATATATTACGATATTTTTTTATTCCTCGCACGATTTCGAGAGCAGCGTTGAGAGAATATGAATTTACGAGGGTCTCTCATTCTCCTCGATGAATTGAATTGAAATGAAATGATGTTATGAAAAACGCCTCTAGGACCGAAAGCCGTGTGGAGAATTAAATAAGGAAATCGATCATAATTTTGGCTTTGAAATTACTTTGACGGATTCTCGCGACTCGTGCGCGGGAAAAAATGCCTATTTCTCCACTTAAAATACACACGATATTGCTATGTTGCATTTTAAAACACTGCAAAGACGCAGAAGGTTTGTTGTGTGCCTTTCAGCGGTAATATTTATTTTTGTGAGTTTATTTCTGCTCAATGTACCAACATATTATAATTACATAAGTTATTGCTCAGCTATTATTGTAAATGAAATTCCACATTAAAACTCAAGAAACGATCATTTCATGTTTCATTGTTTTGTTCATTGAAGCCGTAGATATAAATTAAATACTTGTTTACTAACTGTTAAAGATCAATCTTTCAAACGCTCGTAAATAACGTAGACATATATAGCATGTTAAGATAAGGACAATCTATTTTAGATCCCGGCGGAGTAATCTCATGGAGACGGGTACACTAAATGTTAAAGTGCTTTAACGGGCTCTCATACATCTATTGCGTCTTCTTTTTCTTTCATCAGGCTTTTACAGTACTTTACTTTACTTTAAAACCGTAAATATATAATTTTTGATTGATTTTTATAAATTCAGTATGACGATCAATGTGCACGGATTCTAAGTTAACTGTTGATGAACTGTCAATAAGTTATTTTCAGTCGAATAACTTTGCGATTCATAATTAGTTGAATACTTGTTTTTCAATTGCTTTAAATAAATATTAAGAATTTGACGTATAATTTATTAGAACTATAACAATATACTAACAATAAAAACAATTCTAGCACTTGGTTTTATTTGTTTAATTAAAAGAAACAGTTGCACTCGCAATTACGCAAAGTAAAACGTTTGAATACGTCAAGTTCAATTAAAATTGAAATCAATTATATTTTAATATGAAAGTCTTTGATTGTTATTCAGGCGGTCGGTGCTAGACGTAAACAAACTATGAAAAACCTTTTTTCTGCAATTCCCTTTCAGCGAATAACATTTTACACAATAATTTTTTAACGTGCGCACGATGACCGAAGAATAAAATTTAACGAACCCTGAACTAACAGCTGTCATAAAAATTTCGAGTACGATAAAACATATTATTAGAGCGAGGGCAAGGAGCAGTCACATTTTTTAATTTCGTCATTAGAGAGAGGAGATAAAGAGAGGCGTCCAAACATAGTAATGGAATTTAATCTCCGTTGGTTTCCCTATGAAATTCTGATTTATACAGCGAATATTCAATAACCGTAATTCAAGCACCATTAACATACCATGTAAGGTAGAGTAGAAATGAAAGGCAAACGCGCGCTGCGAAGAGATTGCAGCGATTGATTTGAAATGTAGCTTCGACGCGCAACGAAAATTATGCTTGGTCTCGGTAAAAGTACTCTTGACTCGGGATATTGCGTTTGAAAAGTGCGCAAAAGTCGGTCAAAGCATACACTCGCGGCATGGCATTGCCGGGGCGAACTTTGAAAAAAGAAGCGATTCGTACCGTGTTTGGGATACTGCGGGTAGTGCTGGTGATTGTTGGCGGGATGCTGCTGCTGGTGGTGGTGCGACTGAGCTGCAGCGGCGGCGGCGGCGGCGGCGGCGGCAACGGCAGCCAGGGGATCCGGCTGAATAGGCTCGTCGTCGGCAACGACCTCCATGCTGGCGGCGAGGGCGGCCCTGAGCTCTCGGGCCCTCACTGTCCTGCCGGCCGCTGCGGCGGAAGTCCGACGTCCCCGGCGCCGGCGACGGCCGCAACGTCCGGCTACGCTCGCCCGGTTCGCGCCGATCGCGAACTACGTGTCTTGGACAAGAACTGGCGACACTCGTGTTCTCTCGACGTCCCTTCCGCTGCTCGGTCGGCGGCGCGGACTGCCCACCCGGACTACACTGCTGGTGCCAGCGACGTAGCGAGGACGCACGTGTCGCGCGATTCGCCTGGCAATGCTGCTACGTCGTGTGTACAGGCGCCTCGCTGCGTCACACCTATACTGTCTTCCACTATAAGCACCGGCCACGGCTGCCAGGCTCGGACTGCCGACGCTCTCGCTGGCTCGCTCTCACCCTCCCGCGCCGATCCTCCCCTGCCCTGCTCGCGCTCGCCTCCTCCCGCTTGCCTGCTTGTGGCGCAAGCGCAACCTTATCGCCACGCACTGCCACCAGCGGCCTAGCCGATGCTTGTACTTCCCGTTTCATGCTGCAGCCTTTGCGCCTCTTTGCATCGTTTCGGTGGCATACCACGCAGCCTCTCGATATGCCGCGCGACAATGGTTACCTCCTATTTGTTGTTAACGGCGCTCTGCTCACTCTATTTAGGCTTCCACTCCTCGACTGTTCATTGTCAATCTTAATTAATCTTTATATTTGCTATAAGATTCGATGAGCAATTAGCGCAGTTCATTTTTAAATGCTCTAGAATAATCAATTCCATTCTAGATCGCAAGTTCCAGATCTATTTCCAACTTCGTCACGGTCTGTCTCTCTTTCTCTCTCTCTCTCTCTCTCTCCCTCTCGCTTTGAAAGATTGAGAAGAACTCGAGAATTCAAAGGTATAAAAAACGCTCTATTCTGCTGACTTTTTAGAAGTAAACGTTTTGCCTCATTAATAGTTCAAACTTCTTACGCAAGTTATTAATAAGACAAAAGGGAAGGAAAAGATTTTTCAACTTTCCTTTGTAAAGAAATTGAGTAGTAGATGCATCAACTGGAATTCAAATATTAACCTGTTTGACATTATATGAAGTATGATAGGTGTGCATGACAAATGGCACATTCAAAAAATGAAATTCTTTCTCTGAAGCACGTATAAATGCAATAGGAATTCCTCTTTTTCCGAGTCAAACATTGTAACGTGCTTTTACATGTTTTGAAAATCTTATAGTCATCCGCGATTAACTGTATGATAAAAGATTCAACGAAAAATCATCGTCGATGTACATTACAAGGACTGATCTGATGAAAAGTCGATATTCAGTCTAGAATAATAACAATAATAATAATAATAATAATGTGTACTAGTCCTGTTTTAACAAAGTTAAGAAAGAAAAGGATCAAAGAAGAAGTTGGCTCGATAAAAGTTTAATTCAACGCCATTTATTTCACAAGACTTTCATGTGTATTTTACTCTTTGCGGTAGAGTATTAAATGTGAGGTTACGGTGTGTCGATACCATTATCGTTAAGTTCAAGAACGCGAGCGGGAATTCGACGTTGATGGCAAGTTGTTTCCTATGTGTTTCAACATATGGGCTACAGTATTAAAATAACGAAGTCGTGGACTGTAGATGCATGTGGCTCCACAATCTCAAAGAAAAATCGACTTAATTCAAAGATAAAATGAAATATCGATGCTTAATGTATAATGAAGAGCAGCGAGTGTAATAAATCAGTAGAAAAGTAGAATTGCAATCGAGTGAAGAGGAGCAGAGAAGGGAGCAAGCACGCGTTAATGGAGCTGACAGCAAGTAACGCACAGCACAGAGAGCGATGAAGTAATGCAGAGTTAAACGAGCAAGTGACAACGTCAAAAAGGGGGAGAGAGCAGAGCGCAGGGCAAGAATGAAAGGAGCTTGGAGCGTCTCGCCTTGCAGTTTGGCAAAGTTAGCCGGAATAGACGTTGTAACTACTCGCAGGCAGTGCGGAGTCGAGCGAGTGGTTCTGCGTAACACATATGCGTGGCATATAGCAAAGGTTGGCACGCGCGGCTGAAAAGTGAAGCGGCACACGCTGTGACATCGTCGACGAAGCTCTGTGGCAGCCTATATGGCGCGCGAAGACGTCGCTCAGGCCTCTTGTCTCTTCTCTTATACGTCGTGTCCTTTGTTTCGCGAAAGCTCGAGAAACCCGATTGTCGTGGATCATTTGCAGCATTACAGACGTCGTCGCAGCATGGTAGCTTCTTAGTGCAACCTATCCCGCGTGCGGTGATTCATTCAATCTTACCGACGCGATTGTGCTACTTAGAACACAACTTCAATTGTTAACAATCTCTGCAAATTAGCTTCAACAGCTCGCGTACTCATTTTTCAAACACCAATGCTGCAAACTTTGCCGGAACTTGCAATTTTTCAGTTGTGTTCTAATGTTCTTTTGCGTTGAAGCTAATTTAATAGTACATTACGATACAAGTGTGGGAAAGTAGATTCTCTACTCGTGTGGTGTTCACGCCTGAGCGAAGCGAGGGTGGAAAGATAGACGAAACGAGAATCTCTTTCCCGAACATGTATTGTATAGTATTTTTCGATACATCGTGTGGAAAGCTCATTTTTGAATTCACGTTTTTGGCCGAGCGTGCGGTAAGTACGTGCTTTCCCTACGGAGTGTTCAAGAAGATGTAAATTTTAACAACACAGAAGATCAACGTCCGTGATGTATTTCATATTACCGACAATCACAACATAAAATCTTGACATAATATAAACATTAAAAAACTTGTTTTTGCAAATATTCATTAGAACATTGATCGATATCAATATTTTTACACATATCGATTGAATATACTTATCTAATAATGGTACATACAACATTTTTTAATAAAACTGTTGCTTTCGCATGAAGTTTCTTTCTCTGAAATGATCGTAAATGTAATTTTCAATATTGTTCATTTTAAATACGAACTGTAACGAAATCGACATTGTATTTTATTAGCAGAACTTATTTGTTGAGTGAATAAAATGCATAAAAAATACTTTCAACAGGATCTGGAATAACCTAAAACATTAAAGTAAATTGTTGCATCAAGTGTGTTTTCCTCACGAACTTTTTAATTATAAAATCTAAAACTTTGCCTTCCAAAGTCAGACAATTGCAGATATATGCTTAGTGAATTATATTAATAGCGTTATTCACTGTCAATCTTCCAAACAAATAATTTACACGCATATCCTTTGATTCATGTATTTTTTAACTTTTCGCGACAACAATCATATCCTTCGCGTGCTAACGTAAATGTTTCACTGCACTAGTATAGACAAAACTAAGTAAGCATCTCTTACATTTTCTCTGCAGTAACAATTTAAACCGCTGTATCACTGGAAGCAACATACATCAAAATTATAATATAATTCAATCAATTAATTTAGTTTGAACAATGGATATTCATATTTCGTTTGGTAGAATATTAAATAAATAATGTCATTGACTTCAATAATTAAATTGAAATAGTAATAATTACACATATTGCATATTACACATATTAAACTGTTACGAAACAAAATGTAAATTCGTGTAAAATCTTCTTAAACTGACCTTTCAGAATAATTTTAATGTACCTCTTGTAAGAATAATCTGTTAATAAAGTATAAAAATGTCTTGCACTTTGTAGATTAAACTGTATGAGTTAAATCTGCAAAGTGGAAAATTTTTAGATTTTTTGCATTTCATTGATTCGGTTAAAAGTTGGTATGATGAAACGAATACAATTAACGCAGATAAATAATTTCTGCAGGCTTCTTTATAGACTCTCGGATATAAATCAAATACGCAACGGATTTGTTTTTTTGTTAATCTAAAATATATGTGATTGCGGCTGATGGCCAATTGGTGTATTGAGATACGTGAAAATCTTTGATTTCCTAGGTATAAAAGCATTTACGAGACATCTTGATTGGCATCTTTTCTCGAAGATATATTTATTACAGTTCGCTTGAAATAATCTGCTTTTATATATTCTTTTTTTTGGGCATATGCTAAAGCAATGCAAAATTAGGATCATTTTCAAATACTCATTACTTTTTATACTACATTTAAATTGATTATTAGTTACAGTAACATCAACCCAAAAGCACAATTTTATTTTGTTATCGATAATAAGTCGAAAGGTACGTGTAGTGCGAATGTTAAACACTAACTGAATGCTTCAATGGTAGCTGCTATAGCTTTTGTTTATATACAGCGTGTCGAGTGAAATATTTTGATTCGTAATAAAATCTTTGTTAACATAGTTACCAATATTATCTATGTTTCCGTGTAGATATTTAATAAACATTTGAATACATCCAGTAATTTCTCGTCTAAGCATAGATTTCCAACGAGATTCCTTGTAACTTCCAACAACAAATAACTTTCCTCTACAATTTCTAATAAAATATCGATATGTATCATTTTTCTAAGTTTTTTCATGTTAAATATGTTCTATTTGCATTATTTAATGAAATATAATCGAGTTTAAAAGTTAAAGCAAGTCTATGTGTACACAACGCCTAAATGTTCATGTTAATGTTTGAAGATGGAATAGATATAAGTCATGTGATTTATTTATTATTTATAAATATAAATAAAAGAAATATAGTAGGCATGGAAATTTATTCAGATTCTACATACTATTTTTGCCTAATATTTCTAATTTCGTATCAACTTGTACGTTCAAAGTTGAAATTGCTTTATGAAACATTTTATATAATGTCATGATGCCTTTGTCGATTTGCTTTTATAAGTGATATTGCTCTTTCTAAAATTTCTATATACGCGCAATTTTACTGAATGATAGGAATACAATTATTCTCAAAACGTAATAATTTTCAATGCTGCAATTTGAAATAATCCGTTGATATCAGAATCCGAGTTGCTAGTTAAGAGAGATTAATTCATTTTTTAATGCTTAAAGTGAATTTTCATCAAGATTCCGATATGAAATCAATGAAGTCTTATTAACTTATTTATCGTAGTATTATTTGAAATGTCTGTAGTGAAAATATCTCTTCGTTTGAATAAAGCAATTATTTGAAACTCTCTATAAAGTGAATTTTCTACGTGATCATTCATAAGTAGTTGGGATATATTTCTGATAAGACAAAATCCATTAAAATACGTTTAATGACTCGTTCAACGAAGAAGAGCCAACGCGGCTAAAGTGACATTAAGTATCGCTTGAAATTTATTAATTCAGCGCGAGAATTCTTTATCTGGTTCTTGAAATGAGCTGGCGGTGTTGCTGTCATGAGCGACGACGTCGTGTTCCTTAATCGAAATTTAAGATTTAACATCTTTGCCGTTATGTAAAGCTCGGCGGAAAATGC